ACTTCTTTATAGAATGCATGGCATAGTAAAATATGTCACATAGACTGAGTTTTAATCTCCAGCATTGGATCTTGGACAGGAAACTAAAGTCCTCCAGGTCTGTGTTCTCTGAAAAGTGGGACAAGTATAAAGATGAAAGAAGCTAATAGTGGATCAATGTTTATGTTCTTCTCTCTTTTTGATTTTCATCCTTTATACCTTTCTACTCCTACCCCCGTTCTCTCTGGGCTTGGGAAGTTAACAATAAATAGTACATCCTCATTTGAAGGGGAAAGTGGTGCTCTATATTAGATCAGACCCAATGACCTGGGTCTTTACCAATCATGAGATTCTCTTTGAAGATCCATGAAAACTTTTCGCTAAGAAAGCATTTAGAGAAATAATCAACTGCCTAGTATATAAATACATTTATATCTTACTGTTTACTGAGACTTTCAAACTGAATATATATACAAAAATGACCTAGAAACAAGCAGAGAAAGCTGTGTGGCATTTAGATGCATATCCCATATGCACAATAGATTTCTTAAAAGGTTAAATACCCTTAGCATATGTATAGATAGTGATATGCCCATGATGAGTTCGTAATAATTATGGCAGTGGCTTTGTTTTACATAATTCTAAAGTAAATGTTATGTTTCTTCTTTAGGGATTCCAAGACTGGGATTCAGAAAAGCATGTGTTTCCAAGTAGATAGCTGGGCGAGAGAGGCTACTCTCCCAAATACAAGGACTATGCACGTAGCTAGTATGCTAAGCTTTATGAAGCTCAGACTGCCACTAAATTCTCTTTAGAACTGAAACAGAATTATATATCGAGGACAAGTGCTAAATATAAACAGAAAAGGCCAAATACATGCCTTTATTTTTTGCTTTGTTTTTGCTGTATATTTTTAGAAAGAATTAACCACCTCAAACTCTATAATCTTTAATTGAAACATACATATCAGTCAACTTTGTGAATCCTTCAGCATCTTTTGTCAAAAGTTTATTGTAGCTCTGAAGGGCTCGTCTTTTCTTATATTTATAAATAATTATAAGGAAATTAATAAACAAAGCAAATAACTAAGAACTATACCAAATGAAATATCATTAAGTGTGTCCTAAATATTTAAAAATAGGCACTATGTTGCATGAGGATACATAAGGGGTGAAAACTACATAAATGCGAGTGATTATTACAAAAATTCAAGTTATGGGCTTCTCTGGGGAAGGAAGGACATATAATTTGCATGGTATACACAGGGTTTTTCATTGCATGAATGATCTACAGGCATTTATTATTAATAATATTATACAATCATGATGGGATATCCTATATTTTCTAATTTTTTTAAATGGCAAAGGCAAGCTTGGTGTGGTATCTCATGCCTGTAATCCCAGCAAGGCCAAGGTGAGTGAATCACTTGAGCTCAAGAATACAAGACCAGGCTGGGCAACATGACGGCAACATGGCAAAAACCCATCTCTACAAAAATTAGCCAGGCGTGGTAGTGTGCGCCTTTAATCCCAACTACTCTAGTGACTGAGGTGGGAGGATCACTTGAGCCCAAGAAGTTGAGGCTACAGTGAGCTGTGCATGTGTCACTGCACTCAAGCCTTTCTTTCAAAAAAAGAAAAAAAATAGAAAAGGTAAAATGACAAAACATAGTGAAGAGAACATACAAATTAAGTTGGTAAAAAAAATAATATAATTATAATAATAAAAGTAAACTTACAAATCTTAGATTGAAGAATGTATTTTTCTATTATACTTTAAAAAATTTGAAATATGCCGCGTGCAAGATACAACTAAAGCATAAGTCCTTGAAAGTAGGAATATGGGAAAAGATATACTAGTCAAATACTAACAAAGAAAGCTATTGCATCTGTATAACTAGTTTAAGAACTGGACTTTAGGATAAAATGCAATGTTTATTCTGTCTGTAATTCTTGTTTCCTTTTTCATTCTCTGAGCCTATTTCATCCAAGCATCTGCTTCTAACATTCCTGGACTTATGATAGGTCATCTTGATCTATTTTTGTCTTATTCCAATCTAACCATTTCAAAGCCCAGGATATTTCATTTCTCAACTCTGGTAGTACCTATTACTTGTGTACCACTGATTTGGTACTTATATGATGTGTTTTAGTGTTATTTATGTACATGCATTTTTTAAATTAAATTACAATATTTTAGAACTAGATATTATGCTTATTCTTCTTTAAACACCTCCAGTCACCTTACCCTAGGGCTTGCCGTATGGTAAAATCATGTTACCTGGCACTATCATGTAATAGAAAGGTAATAAACATTTTAGCAGTGTACTGAAAAATGGCTTCAGAAAGTTCATTAAAAGCTCTTTTTAGGATCTTGAGTACTTTGTCAATGCTAAATATTTATATTTTCTAAGTAATCTTCCAGACAAAGAAATTTCAAAATGGAGTAGGGGACACACACTATTTTTAAAGTGACCCAAAGCTGTGCAGAGCTGATGAGACTGAGACTACAACCCTCAGTAGGAAGGTGTCCCTCCTCTGGAGGCTCCCACATGTTTATGACTATGTGATCATTAAGGACTGGGACCACATCTAATGAACTTTTTGCATACACATCTGGGACAGAGTCTGACAATATATAGTCAAAAAGTGATTCTGCAAAATGTGAGAGAATTAATTATGAGTCTAGGGTAATCCAATTCACTGCTGTGGCATCAGAACAATGAGTAATTCGAGTTTCTCAGTGTGTGTCTCTAGCTCTCCCTTTCAGAGGGAGACAGTGGCTGGGAAGGTAGAAGAGCCATCTGGGCAGAGGCGAGATGCTGATTCTTATACTACACTTGGTATGGTGGGTTAGGTGCTGATGGGAGCAAAGCTGAGTAGAGTGGATTTGATTCTGCCAACTGATGGTGGACTATGTTTGGAAACAAACAACAAAAGCTTAAAAAGAGATGGAGAAACACATGGAATAGATTTTCAGTGCTTCTCTGGCTGGCCTTCAAGAAGTAGCTGGAGTACCTTCTTTCTCATGGCAGGAAAGAGAGTCTGCCTGCTGTAAATCTCATTTAAACTTATGATTTTTTGAATAGGCAATATATAAAGCATCTGAGATAAAATTCAAAATGTACAGTAGGGTATATGGGAAAAATAAGTGTTTCTTCCACCTCTGCCCATAGTTGCTCTCTCTAGAGGCAACACGGTTACCAGATTCCTTTATTTTTAGGTATATAAAACCATTTTATGTTTTGTATGTGTACACATGTGCATATATATATATATATACACACATTTTTCAGATAAATAACTCATAATATACTATGTTGAATCTTGCTTTTTAAAAAAATTAACAAGTTATCCTGTAGTTTTTCCATTTTTATTTTTATTTTTATCTTAAAAAATACTAAGTGTCCAACATTTGTTTCATGTGTGAATGAATAATTTGATAATAGTCTCTAATTCATTCATACTGAACCTAAAAGTCACCCGCCAACACATTTTATGAATGCCTTATCTAAAACCCCATCTCCAATGTGCATCTTTTCTTTTCCCCCTGTCGACATTATATTCGTCCTCTAAATCTCAAAAAAAAATTTCCCATGGAAACCTTCTCTGAACATTGACTTTCTCCCCCAGGAGTTCCCTCTAAGCACTTAATAGTAGTTTACTATTACCAATTACATAATAGTTGACTATTTTGATTGTCTTGAAAGTCTTTTATGTTAATATCATACCATAAATATGTGAATAGCACTCTACTTATTTATATATTTGAGATGGAGTTTCTTTTGTTGCCCAGGTTGGAGTACAGTGGTGTGATCTTGGCTCACTGCTGCAACTTTTGCTTTCCAGTTTCAAGTGATTCTCCTGCCTCAGCCTCCCGAGTAGCTGGGATTACAGGCATGTGCCACCACACCTGGCTAATTTTTGTATTTTTAGTAGAGATGGGGGTTCACCATGTTGGTTTGGCCAGTCTCGAACTCCTTACCTTGTAATCTGCCCGCCTTGGCCTCCCAAAGTGTGGGGATTACAGGTGTGAGCCACTGCGCCCAGCCTGAATAGCACTCCTAACAATATTAATTTTTTATTGAGTAGTTGTTTGTGCCAGACACTTTACTAAGCATATAATATGCATAATCTCATTAATTCCTACAATACACTTATGAAGTAAACAACATTATTGTTATTATTGCAACATACCTGTCAGTGCCCTGACAATATCACCTTGATTCACTTGGAGATCATATGCAGACCATTTCCTTATATACCACTGTTTTCTGGCATCTTGCTGCCAGAGTGATCTCTGGAGAATGCGCTTAGCTCAAATGGATAGGTCAGAAGTGCCAACATATTGACATTCCAGGAATGAATTTAACCAATTATGTGTGGACATTAGTGGATAAATACTTCTGCTTTCTCTTCCTTTTGTGAGAAAATCTTTAGTTGTGCTCCTCACAATTATTTCAGGACCCATACATTTTGCCCACAGTGGCAAACCCTTTTATAACTTACCCTTCATTATCTTTCGTCTCTTCCCTATCTCAATTTGCTACTTGCTTTCTTCTTGGAATCACCTCCCAAATAAACTAATTATGCCCAAACCTTTGTCTCAGGATATGCTTTTGGGGAAAGCAGATCTAAGGAAGTCGAGGTTTAGAGTTCTTGAGTAACTGTTTCAAGTTCACCTGTCGTTACATGGTAGATTCAGTATATGAATCTAGAAGCCATGATCAAAATCATCATCCCTTATTGCCAACTAGATGGTAGGTGCTACAAAGCAGACCAGTGAACACTATGTTTTCTCCACCGTGTGTTTCAAAATACAAGCCAAAGTCAGAGCTTAATGCATACTCCTGCTGGTCAAGTTCATTTTATGTTTTGGAGTGTCACTTTTCCCCTGTAGCACATCAGAACATGTCTTTAGGCAGTTAGCTAAACACATGTACTTATAATTTATGTAGGAATTGTGTATAAATTTCTCACACTTGTCTAGTTGCTGAGTATCTTCTCCTTGTTTTTCTATAGATAGCAACTTCATCCTCGCCAATGCCCAGGTGGCTAAGGGTTTCCCCATAGTCTATTGTTCCGATGGCTTCTGTGAGCTTGCTGGATTTGCCCGAACTGAAGTCATGCAGAAGAGTTGTAGCTGCAAGTTCTTATTTGGAGTTGAAACCAATGAGCAACTGATGCTTCAAATAGAAAAGTCATTGGAGGAGAAAACAGAATTCAAAGGAGAAATTATGTTCTACAAGAAAAACGGTGAGTTGGCTTTCTTTGGTGCGCATTGGAGAGTTGTGAAAAGTTGTCTTCTTTCAACCTAGTAATTGCTCCATAACTGCCATTAAGGCTTAATGGTATTTCATGTATGTGCAGTCTGTTATAGACGTTCCAAAGATGACTTGGATGAGAGCCTTGTTTTAACCATTAGCAGCATAAACTGCCTAGAAATTTAGAATTGTAACTATTCAATGTCAATGACAGTTAACATATATTAACTGAGTTAATATATGTTAGAATAAAGATGTTACTATTATATTTTGGTCATTCTTAAAATATATGTTATATATAATAGTTATGTCTATATTAACAACTTTTATATGGGAATATTTCCCAAATATTAAGCCTTAAAGAACTATGTCTCAGTTCCCTGTGTGTTCCCTGCAAAAAAGGAAGTCAGTTGAAAAAAAAATCGGCATATGCATTTTCTTTTCCAGTACCTGGCCATAGAGCCTATCTCACTATTCCCTTAAATTCTAAACACAAAACAGGAGACACATAGCATCTCAGGTTAGAGTAAATTTGCCTGGGCTCAAAACTGCCACTGTGGAAATACTAGGTATTTTCTTATGACTTCAGTTTTGTGTCTCTCTTTAAAAAGAAAGAGGATCTAGGGGTGTGTAAGGTGTCTGCAGTCCTTGGGCTGTATGTAGGAATATATATCATTAGCAAATGGGCACTGGTACTTATGGTAAATTCACGAGGGAGAAATGGGAGAAATGCTAGATCAAAAATATACCCAAAGGATTATAAATCATTCTAATATAAAGACAAATGCACTCATATGTTCATTGTGGCACTGTGTACAATAGTAAAGACCTGGAACCAACCCAAATGCCCATCAGTGAAAGACTGGACAACAAAAATGTGGCATATATACACCATAGATTACTATGCAGCCATTAAAAAGGATAAATTCATGCCCTTAGTGGGGACATGGAAGAATGTGGAAACCACCATTCTCAGCAAACTGACACAAGGACAGAAAGTCAAACACAGTGTGTTCTCACTCATAGGCAGGTGTTGAACAATGAGAACACATGGACACAGGGAGGGGAGCATCACACACTGGGGTCTGTTGGGGGGGACTAAAGGAGGGACAGCAGGGGGAGTGGGGAGGTTGGGGAGGGATAACATGGGGAGAAATGCCAGATAAAAGTGACCAGGGGGATGGAGGCAGCAAACCACCTTGCCATGTATGTACCTATGCAACGATCCTGCATGATCTGCACATACACACCAGAACCTAAAGTACAATTAAAAAGAAAAATAAAACAGAAAAAACTATTATTTTCCCAGTTTCCAAAATTTTCACTTTTTTCATTAGTAGCTTTCCTTTTCCCTTGTAATAACATAATTTCCTGAGTTTTAGCTAGTGCATGGCTACCAAACTAGAAGAAAAAATATTTCCCAGTATTCTTTTTAAGTAGGTTAGCTTTTTAAGTAGGTTGACTACGTTTTAGGCCACAATATATGAGAAGGAATGTTTTGTGCAATTTCTGGATAAAATACCTGAAAGTGAAATTGTTCTCTAATTTATCTCCTTTCCCTTTCCAAGGGTGTGGACAGAATCGTGTCCTAGAAAGTACATATACTGAAGTCATAACACAAAATATGATTGAGACAGAGCCTTTAAAAAGATAATTAGTGTTAAATGAAGTTATAAGGGTGGGGATCTAATCCAATATGACTAGAGTCCTCATAGGAAGCAGGAGAGGCACTGAAGGTGTGCATACACAAAACAAAGGCCACATGAAAATACAGTAGGAAGGCAGCTGTCTGCAAGCCATGAAGAGAGGCCTCAGGAGAAACCAAACCTGTCAGCACCAAGATTTTGGACATCTAGCTTCCAGAGCTGTGATAAAATAAATTTCTGTTTAAGCTACCAAATCTGTGTTGTTTTCTTGTGGCAGCCCAAGCAAACTAATACACATATGTTAAAAATTTAAAACAGCTGAAGAAGCTTTTGGGCTGAGATGATGGGGTTTTCTAGATATAGGATCACGTCATATAGAAACAGAGACAGTTTGACGTCCTCTTTTCCTATTTGAATACCCTGTATTTCTTTCTCTAGCCTGATTGCCCTATCCAGAACTTCTAGTACTATGTTGAATAGGAGTGGTAAGAGAAGGCATCCTTGTCTTCTGGTTTTCAAGGGGAATGCTTTGTTGATAGGTGCAGCAAACCACCATGGCACACATTTATCTATGAAACAAACTTGCATATCCTGTGCATGTATTGTGGAACTTAAAATGAAATTAAATTGGCCAGGCACGGTGGCTCATGCCTGTAATCTCAGCACTTTAGGAGGCCAAGGCTGGCAGATCACAAGGTCAGTTCAAGACCAGTCTGACCAACGTGGTGAAACTCCATCTCTACTAAAAATAAAAAAAAAAAATTAGCTGTGGGTGTTGGCATACGACTGTAATCCTAGCTACACAGGAGGCTGAGGCAGGAGAACTGCTTGAACCCAGAAGGCCTGGAGGTTGCAGTGAGCCGAGATTGTGCTACCGTACTCCAGCCTGCGTGACAGAGTGAGATTCTGTCTGAAAAAAAAAAAAAGAAAATTAAATTAAAAGAAGAAAGAAATTATTCATAGAAACAATAATGGCTAAGATGTTGCTAAAGTTTATTTACTGACTTAAAAGAAAAGATAGTTCCAGCCTTTTTTCTTTGTAACAATATTACAATAATGTTTATTCCTTCCCTTAAAAAAAAGTTAAGACAAGGCTGGAAAGTCAGCCTCAACCATTTGACAGGGACAATACCATAGTGAAATGCAGAGCAACAAGATAGAAGGAACCTGGGTTTGTTTACAGATCCACTTTCCACTGCTGACAATAAAACTTCTATCTTGTTTTGTTGTGTTTCTATCTTGTTTGAGTCACTTATTTTGGTGTCTTTGTGTAACAATATTTAAATTGTACTCTAACTCAGGGTTTCTCAACCTTGCCACTGTTGATGGTTTGGGCCAGTAATTCTTGTGGTAGAAGGCTGTCCTGTGCAGTGTAGATGTTTAGCAGCCTCCCTGGCTTCTGTATCTTACTGTCATTACTTTGAAGCATTGAGATCAATGTTGAGGAGAAGAGCCTGCACATGGAAATTTCATCCCATTTTGTAAGTTATTTTACCTTGGAGGATATTCCCCGATGATGTGGATTTTGGATATACAGTAGTTATGAAGTGTTGCAGAATATTTCTTTGGGACAGGATACCTCAATTATTTGGCACTAGGAACACAGTTCAGACAATTGTGTCCTTCCGTGTCAATAGATAAAGCCTAAATAGCAAATATGATAAAACAAAAGGATTCCAGCTCTATGTAATTATACCAAAATCATTGAAAGGAGACCTGAGATAAAAGAAAATGGAGGGTATTGCTGCAAATGCAGACTGGCAGGGACTGATAAAGCTGCCATATAATGGAACAAAGGGGAAAGGATTTCCTTTGAATGAAATATTCACTGACTGCAGACTTGTCCTTCTTAAGATAGACACCTTGTGTAGGTCACTCACTCCAAATCCATATGAGTATATTCCTTTTAAGTCTCTTCACAATGTCTGAATCTAGGTGTCAAGACCAAACAATGGAGACTGACAGGCTAGACAGGTAGAAAGTATGGTGCACAGGGTGGGAGCAAGAATTTCCTGAGCCCAGGTTTTTAATAAGATGTCTCCACAGCCTTAGACACAAATTGGATAGAAATCATTAAATGCACCAATTCCCTTTAAGCTAGTCACCATGGGGATTTGTCTGACTTTCTAAGAAAACTAATTGATCCAGTTTACAAGACTGAAAATTGGTATCTACCCTAGGCTAATCATACTGCATTATAGCTATTTATATAAATATCTGTCTGTAGATGTAGTTGTGAGCTTTTGAAGGCACACTTCTACATACCCAATGCCTGGAGCTTTGGGTCTCAAGCAGTGTTCTTCAGATGTAGTTTCTTAGTAAACACTTGCAGAAAGGAATTGTAATTGAATATTAGCCTATGGGTACTTTAAGATGTCTGGATTTCTGGTTTTTAAAAAATATGCTTATGATTTCAGGTTTCCTCCTTCCTTCCCTCAAGGATCATTTTCTTTTAATATGCTTTAGAACGCAGATGCTTATCTCATCCTCCCCAGATACATTTTGACATTCTGTGATTGTGCTGCTTTGCCTACTTGTCCCTTAATGCTATGATTGCTCTCCTGACCTTACAGAAAAAATGATAGCAAAAAAGCTATCCAACACAATTTCTTCATGCTTCAGAGCTATAAAACCCCGTAGTGGGAGATTATCTCTGGTTTTCCTTGTTCTTTTTTGTTATCCTCGAAGCTGAGAAAGGACACATTGAGATATCATATCCTATTTGTTTCCTTCCTCACTCTAGCTTGGTGGCAGAACTTAAATGTCAACAAGTTGTGTCTTCCCTAATAGCATGAAAGACAATCATGATCGGATCTACCAGCCTTAGCTTTTATGTTTATTTGATCTATCCTCTCTACAGAAAGCTTCTTTTTCAAACCTATCTCCATATTAGTAGGTCCAATGCCATCAGTTTCCTGGAAAGAAAAACATAGAAAACAAAGATTTAAGGTGGCTTTTAGGATAATATTGCCAATTTTGCAAAAATATTATCATGGTATATTAGTTTGTTAGGGCTACCATTATAAAGTACCACAAACTGAGTGGCTTAAACATATATTATATCATAGTTCTGGAAGCTAGTAGTCCATCTGTGGACTCCCTATGTGATCTCCCTATGTGATCATCTGTGTCCAGATTTCTGCTTTTAAATAAGGACATCAGCCACATTGGATTTGGTCCTACTCTAATGACCTCCTTTTAACTTGGTTACCTCTGTAGAGGACCTGTCTTCAAAAAAAGGTCCCACTTTGAGGTACTGGGGATTAGACTGTAACATATCTTTTGGGGAAGACAAAATTCAACCAAAAACATCTAGTTGCATTTATATTGAATAGATTAGAAGTCATTTGCCCAAGGTTACAAACTAGTAAATAGAAAACCCCAAATGCATAAACATTCTTGCTTGACTTCAAGGTCCTTGCTCTTAAGCCACTGATTCTCTATGGAGATGGAGATGCTACCATCTCCCAAGGAATTTGGAAATTTCTGGAGGTTTTTGACTCAGTAATTAGGAGAGTGCTTTTGTCATTTATTGGGCAAAAGTCAGATGCTAAATATACTACAATGTGTGGAATAATCTTGCAATTGAAGAATTGTCTGGTTTCTTGCATGACTTTCTGGTGCCCAGTCACTTTCCAGGAGGTGAAATACTGGTTTCTAATTACCTGAATCCTGAACTTAACATGCAAAATATTTTTTGAAAGGCTTTATTTCCCACTGAGTTTCCAAGAGTAAAACTATAGTATAAGTGAGGGAAGATTGAACTTTATTTTGCTCAGAATTTCACCATGTAAGAAAATCATGTTAGTGGCTCACAGCACTTGTTGATCTGATGGAGCACATATTCAGGTGATCTGCACTCACAGCCATGGCGTTTGCAGTGATTCTACATACTGGTCCAATTATCCAACTGTTTTATTATATCTCTGCTCTAGTCGGTCCTATCTGAGCATTTCTGTTGAGATATATACTATCAGATTATCAGAGTAAATTACTTCATTTTTATTTTGTGTTACTATATGTATATATGAAAATAATGTATATAGGTAGGCAAGTTTTATTGTGATGATTTTTATTTCTAAATAGTAAAAATGGGCCAGGCATGGTGGCTCATGCCTGTAATCCAAGCACTTTGGCGGCCAAGGTGGGCAGATCACCTGAGGTCAGGAGTTTAAGCCTAGCCTGACCAACGTGGTGAAACCCCATCTTCAATTAAAAAAAAAATAGTAAAAATGGAAAGGCAACTATTTATTTTAAAAGAGAATCATGGGTTTTAATAAGGTTGTGGATGACTCTGGACTCCCAAACTTATTCATTCTCACATCACCATCAAGGTTTGCCATTTCCATGTGTCTATCTCCTACGCTATTGCTTGCTTGATGTTTTTCTTTATTCTGATTCACTGTTTTATTTTACTTAAATATATTGCAAGCAAAAGAAAACTAAATCACTACCCTGAATATAAAACCAGGATCACTAGCTTCAAAGAGAAGCAAACATAAATATTTAGTGAAAACATTGGTTTTAAGCTTTTTCTAACTTAGAAAAGTAAAAAGTATACTGTGAAATCCAAGTAATAATAGCCCTAATCAATTTTATTATACCAAGCAGCATATATGTTATTTTATTCAATTTTTTCAGTAACCTCAAATAAATATGAATTATCTCCCATTTACAGATGAGGAAGGTATGATGTAGAAAAATGACTTAAACAGTGGTCTAAAAGTTATATCATGAACAGGCCTCATTTTGTTGCTCCAGTCATTGTCTCTCATTGTATTTACAGATTGATGCACTTCAATTTATTTATTTTTACACTTTAAAATTTAATTATCTGATGACATAGTAAAAGGCCCAAGAAAGCTCAATTCTTTTTAATAGAATTAGATTTTCAATTTTGTGTGATATAGATATATGGATACATATACATATATATGTGTGTTGTGTGTGTGTGTGTATATATATGCATATAAGTATGTGTGTATACATAAACACATTACAGCAAAAACAATTTATTTATAATTAACTGCCTTTTTCAAAAAAGGGAGGATGCCTCCAAAGGGGAAACCTTTGTTTACAAGCTGGATATGTATTTGGATGCAAATCTCAAGCTGAACTAAGCTGTTGAGTCAATAAAAACTGGTGTGTGGAAATAGGAAGGGCTGAAGAGGCTGCTTTAGCATTTGGATGGGTAGAGGAAAAGAAGGAGGGATTGGGAAAGATAAGAAGAAAGAGGAGAAAGGGAGAGAGCAAGAGAAGTGAATGGGGATACATCTGGTGATCTGGTGGTACTTTATCCATCAACATGTCTAAAGATAAGTTTTATGTGCTACCTGCATATTTTAGCTTCAAATGCACATTTAACTAATACATAAACATTCCAATATAAGATATTTTTATGTTCCACTTAAAGTAATCTTGTGTACCACCAGGAGTATTTCATACCACCATTTGGGCAGTATGCTATGTTCATGAGAGTGTACACATCAGCTGTGTGAATCTGGTATATTCATATTCAGTCTTACAATTTCAGATTATGATAAAAGCAAAAAAAAAAAAAAAAAGAAAATTCTTCATGACCTTTCTTTTTTACAAGGAGCTGTTCATGACTGATAATTACAGTAAGAAACATTACTAGCTTTAAAAAAACAAATTGGCTGGGCGTGGTGGCTCACGCCTGTAATCCCAGCACTTTCGGAGGCTGAGGCGCATGGATCACGAGGTCAAGAGATCGAGACCATCCTGGTCAACATGGTGAAACTCGTCTCTACTAAAAATACAAAAAATTAGCTGGGCATGGTGGCGCATGCCTGTAATCCCAGCTACTCAGGAGGCTGAGGCAGCAGAATTGCCAGAACCCAAGAGGCGGAGGTTGTGGTGAGCTGAGATCACGCCATTGCACTCCAGCCTGGGTAACAAGAGCGAAACTCCGTCTCAAAAAAAAAAAATGTATTGTGTATATTTAATATATATATGATGCTATAGGAGATACGTGTGTGTGTATGGTAAAATGGGTGGGTGTGGGGTGGGACAAATTAACATATCCATTATCTCACCTACTTAACCACTTCTGCCCCTGTGACAAGAGCAGCTATAATATGCTCATTTAACAAAAATCCCAAGTACAATGCACTATTATTAACTATAGTCTTCCTGTTGTACATTAGATCTTTCAACTTGTTCATGCTGTATATTTGCTGTTCTGTATTCTTTGAACTGTATCCCTCCAAATTCTTCTCTCCACCCCAATGATAACCACTGTTTTGTTCTTTGTCTCTATATATTTTATTTTTCACCTTATGATTACATTTATAAGTGAGATAAAGCAAGTTTTCTTTCTGTTACTGGCTTATTTTACTTAGTATAATGTTCTCCATGTGCATCTATGTTGCAACAAATGGCAGGATCTCCTCCTTTTCTAAGGCTGAATAATTTCCATTGTGTGTGTGTGTGTATATATATATACACCAGTTTCTTTATCCATGTTTTCTATTGATGGACAGCTAAGTTTTTTTCATATATTGGCTACTGTGATTAGTGCTGCAATGAACATGGAAATGCAGATATGTTTTTCTTTTAATATATACTCAGAAGATGGATTTCTGGGTCATATGGTATTTCTATTTTTAATTTATTTAGGAACCTCTGTATTCTGTTTTTCTGTTCTTTGTCTGTTTTTAATGCCTGTACTCTTACTTTTTTGGTTACTATAGCTTTGTAATATAATTTTAAATCATGAAGGAAGATGCTTCCAACATTTTTTTTTCTTTAATCAGAATCATTTGGACTATGTCGGGACTTTGGTAGTTCCATACAAATTTTAGTATTATTTTCTAGTATTAGTATTAATATTTTAGTATTATTTTGTGAATATGTCATAGAGATTTTAATAGGAATTGCATTTAATCTATATTTTGTGTTGAGTAGTTTGGATATTTTAACAATATTAATTCTTCCACGTTTATGAGCATGGACTGCCTTTCCATTATTTGTCTCCTCTTTGGTGTCTTTCATCAGTGTCTTATAGTTTTCAGTGTAGAGATCTTTCTCATCCATTATTTTGCTTCTAACACTAAGAAGATACTCTTAATGAATTTTTTTACACTTAGTTATTTGGTATGACTCGAAGATTTTTAGAATATTTGATTATGTCATCTAGTTATTTCAGAATTGGAACCCAAAATAGGAAAAGAGGCAATGATTTGAGTTGTAAAATTTCAGAGTATTCTCAAAATAGCAATTTTAAATGTGAAGCACATGTGACTTCCCCATTTGGCTATTAAGTAATGGGCTCGTAGCATTCATTGCATATGGAATGATTTCATGTAAGATATAAATTTCAGAGCAAAAGATTTCATGCCCATCCATTTAATAAATGAACAACAGCAAGGATATGCTTTTAAATGGGATGTGTTATATCTAAATGGATGTTTTTGTGAATACCAGAGTTCCCAGCATGGACAACATCTGTAGTTGGTTTAGACTTTACCACATCTAAAGAACCAGGAATTAAGTTTATCAAGAGCTAGGGAAACCAGGCTTGAGATCACACAAAATAAAAAGATAGTTTCTTCTAAGACTGAGTGAAACCTGGAGAGAAAGGAAAGGACATTCTGAGCAAAACAAAATCATCTTCTCACCTAGCCCTCCCATGGATTCAAACCAGAGTCCAAGCCAAGAGAGAGGCAATACAACAGCAAGTGCAATGTTTTATATAAAGATCCCCTCAGGCTGTTAAGAATGGTAAAGTCATTAGCACCATGGGCGTTAGGCTTATATACATGGTGGCCTTGGCAGCAACTGAAAGCAAAGCATCCAAGTGAGCCTGGAGGACAGTATAAAACTTACTTCTTTGGAAGCCAAGAGGAATCGATTATAGAGACATTTCCTCTGAGTTTTCAAAGTATTTGTGAAGAACATAAAGGGGACTTGGTTTCCTAAATGTAAGACCTAGTAATATTTTTCCTGTGTAATAGATATGACCATAGTTTTACTCACTGGATTTTAGAGTCAAGGAAACTCAAAACAGTTTATCTAGTGTTCCAGTTATGACAAACTACCTTAGAACCTAGCAACTTAAAATAACGATAAGTATATCTTACCATTTTGTGGGTCAGGAATTTAAGTTGGCCTTCTTCTTCCATATGGAATTAGCAGAGGTTGGTGTTTGGTGGTGTTCAGTGGGAAAATGCACCTGTTTGGAAGGTGTAACATGCTTTCACTCATGTATAGCATCTTGGAAGGCTGGGATCAGTTGAGGAAGTCAACCGAAGTGCCTACACATAGCCTCTTTAGCACAGTGGTTTTGGATAGTCACTAGTCTGGTAGTCTAGTGTTTCATGAACCAGGCAGAAGCTGCAAGACTTTTTGTGATCTCATCTAGGAAGTTACATGGCATAACTACTACCATACCATATTGAGTGGAACAGCCACAAGTCCACTCAGATTCATGGGAAGGAGACCAAAATCTCACCTCTTGATGAGTGGGTAAGAATGTACAGTCGTGTTTATATAGCTTCAATATCTAGTCTCATAGAAACACATTTGGGAATGAATGTGTGTGTGTAGCAACAGGCAAAAGAGCATTTGGTTCTGACGCTTGTAAAGTTTGTGGTTTTCATAAAGTCTGTAGGGCCACCAAACAGTTACCATGCTTCCTTTAACTAAGTGTATTAGAAAAGTTGGGTCAGATTATTGTTACTATCCTCAGTTGCTTTCTCCAGCTTGATTCATCTGAGGCCTTACCTGAGACTTTGCATGCCCTCAAATAGAAAGCAGGCATTGTTCTTTATGTTTTGGTAGAAGATTTTATAATGATTCTCAATATATCTTTTCAGTCTTAACAGGAGATTAATTTTTTATGTTTGCCTCTTATGTCTTTTGCATTCAAGAGGTGAATCTCGGAAATGCATTTATGGAAGACAACTTCAAAGTCATGGTGGCAAAGGGTTTAGAAAGTACGTGCACTGAAGGTGGCAAATGCAGCCTGTATGGAGAGTCTGCCTTGCAGTTTTATCTTTCTGTTTGCATATAAGCTTTGCATTTGTAAATGTAGGCAGTCTTTCGGGTCGTCTTTTCATCTATCTGAACAAGCTACTCTGAGAGAGAGCCCGTTCTTTTTCTATGGTCATGGTTAAAGTTGTATTGTTTAATCACGGAGCAGAGGTTTTATGTCAGTCCAGTTTTTGAAGTGCTCTTCACTGACCCACGTTCTGCAGCCAGGATGATAACAAAGTGAGATAAATGTGGGGATCAAGTCACAGTGCATTCATCTGCTCAGCTTAGCTTGTTCTGCTTAGATTTAGTGTTCACTGATACTTCCTAACTGGATTCCTCCATACTTTCTCTTCTTCAAAGTCAGCCTTACCATCATCCTGACTTAGCACAGACAACTTCATAAAATAGAAATAGCTAACGTTTACTGAGCGTTCACTATGGGCCAAGCTCTGTGCTCTGCTCTTTGCTTGTTTTGTTGCTTTGATTTAATTCTCTCATCAACCCTTTGAGATATATCCGATTACTATCCTGTTTCACAGTTAAAGATACTGATTTACAGAGTGGGAGGGCTGGGATCCAAGTCCTGGTAATTCTGACTCCTGACCCCTTGTACTTTGAAATACTAAGAAATGCTCATGCATCTGGCAAACCTAAGCTTTCTATCTAGGAAGCCTATGGCACTTCCTCACCTGCCCTTGGTCTATGACAGTGAATGGTGAGCATGCCAGGCACTTTACATACCCCTTGGGGTGAGTGACTGACAAACTATCAAGGAAGGACTTGCTCACCAGTAGCTAGAATCAGAAAGTTTTGGAGTAGAATCTCAGCTCTCTACCATTTGGTAAGTATGTATTCTAGTTCAATGACTTTGCTTTTTTCAGCCTCAGCTTGACCTTCTCTAAAATAGAGATCAAATATCATCCTCATAGATGTCTTACGAAGGGCCAAATGAGATAACCATTGTTCAGCACACATTACCAGGAACAGCTACATAAGATGCAGGGCCCATTGCAAAATGAAAGCACAGATGCCTTTGTTAAAAAGTTGCTAAGAATTTCAAGATAGCACCAGCAGAACGTTATATGAAAGCATGGGGCTCTTCTGAGTGTGGGAATCTATGTGACTGCACAGACCACATGCCCATGAGGGTGGCCTTGAACATCATAGCCATTTAATGAATATTCTTTCCACCCCTGATATTCTTCGCACCAGAAGAACCTGCCTACTTGCATTTCCCATAGTGCTAGATAGATCCTTAGAACCTCACATTGAGGAGCCTGAAATCCAATGCCTGCCCCTTGGCTAACTCTGAACCCTGGCCTGTGGCCTGGTTTCTGGTTTTCCCTTACCTTACTAGAAAGCCATGGGTATCTACCCGTATTCAACAAGATCCCACAAAAGTTCTGTGAGCTCTTAGCCAAGAGGATCTATGTCTCTTGAGTTGGACAAGAATTATAAAATTAACAGAAAAAAGTTACATCATTTACACATGCTTAAAGTATACTAGCAACATGAAAAATTATCTAATATTGACTGGCTACAATTACATTAAAATAGTTGTGCTTTATTTTTCAGTGATGAGCCTTCACTCTACGTCATCCATCAAATTTAAACAATCATTGGCACCAGAAATTCATCTTTCCTGACACTGCCTTAGGTCAGACCCTCACAATTTTGGTCCAGAGTTATAACAACTCATCTCAACCCACAGACCAACCTCCAGTTCTGCACCCTCAAATCTTTTCTCCTCACTGTCTCTCAAGTTGTCTTCCTGAAGTGTGTTCTGCAATCCCCAGGCATGCCTCTCCACAAAACACATGATAGAGCCGTCAGGTGTTCCTCATTGCCTTTCAGGATAAATGAAAACTCTTCATTCTGGCATGTAAAGCCACTCATGAACTAATCCCAATCTACAATCTCTCTAAGCTCATCCTTCCCCTGTTTTCATCTTTCCTGTTTCTTTCATTTTTCATTACTCCCACTTCAGTACATCCCGGAATTCAGGCTAATTATTTTATCGTTTTGTTTTTCAAAAATCTTCCATATCCTAACTTGCCTTGTGCCTTTGTACTTGGTGTTCCCCCTGCCAGGAATGCTACTCCCCACTCCCCAATTTCATCGTATATTAAAGTAATAAAACTGTTGAGATTCAATTCAAGCCTATCTCATCTGTGAGGCTTTCAACTATGACTTTCTGTTTCACACGAAGCTTCCATGAGTCACAGTAGGTACCACCTTGTTTCATAACTATCTCTTTATACATCTGTCTGGTTCATTATGCATGTTTGAGGGTGACTTTGGTACCATATTAATCTTGTTATCTACAGTGCCTAGAATGTTCCTGATATATAGTAAATGCTATTCGCTGAATGGGTGAGTAAATAAAAAAGTTTTCTTGCTGTTTCAATTGAAGCCTTATACTGCTTTCATGTTAGAATAGACTTGAGATGTTGGATAACTCTCTCTATATTCTCATATAAAGTCATTTTGCTTTTCTGTTTCAATTTTGTGGTTTCCTTTCCTCCTAAGAAAGATCTTTGACTTCATCCTTCACTTTTCTTTCCATTTCTGGACATTAATTCTTTTGCTGGAATATTTTCTTTTTCTCTACTTAGAGAACATATTTAAATTCCCTGTCTTACATAGAGAGAGGGATTGGTGTTCTGGGGTTTTCTGCAGGGTTGATAAATTAACATCTGTTTGTATGGGAAGCAACCAGGTTGTTCTAAGGCATTTTAATTCAGGCATGTGGACTGGGGTCTGAAGGATTATTCATTGACATATTTCTGCTCTGCGTCAGTCCTGTCTGTCATAGCTGCTTCTGGGAAGTTGGGCCAATAAAAGCACAAAGGAGGTAAACAAGAAAGGCAGCCAAGAGAAGTGAGTGTCTCCCCTGAGCATGCTGGCAAGAAAAGGCCAGGGAAAAGCACCTGAGAAGACAGCCGCTGGAATGCAGATGATGCCAGCAACTTGTGCACTACTCAGAAATCCCTGTGCCTGATGATGGAGACCATGGGACCACTCTGAATATGAAAAGAATAAGTATTTTGCCCTACCTAGAAACTTTGGCATGTAAATAGCTCTCAAGGCTGAAAGAGCTGTCTAAGAAGTAGTCCGATGTTGGTGTTTGGCAACTTTACACGATGTTCAAAGGAATTCACATTTTCAGATATATATTTGAGAAGAAAAATGTAGTGAAAATTATCTTATTATAGAAGGCATTTTTTACCATTCCCAGTGTGTTAGAGTGGAAATAATTATGATCTTTTTGTGTGGAGACTCGAGTTTGGGTCCTTGCACAGTCACTAACGTGCTGTATGTGATCTTAGCCAAGCCATTTAATCCAACGATATCTAATATTGCCCATAAGAAACAAGCAGACATATTTAGCTCTTAAAAGCATTTATGCGAATCAGATGAAGAAAGTAAGCTATAGAAAATATAAAGAAGCACATTAGTGCTTTTTGTATTGACTCTCGGGGTCTACATTCATATCTACCAGAGCAAAGCAAAGGCTTCTGTCTCTTATGAACTATATGATTTTGCCCTATTAACTTCAGCTTCCTAAGCCTCAATTTTCTCTTCTGTAATATGGCAATAACAGTAATAGCATCTGTTTCATAGGCTTAAGTGAAGTGTAAAGTCCCTTGCACAGTTTGTGTGCTCAGTAAATATTAACTGTCACTCTTGTAACCAATAGTATTACTGAATTCATCTTAATAATTTAGCTGATTATCTGAACACAGAGTTTAGAGTACCTGTTATGTTTGGGTCAGGTCCTCTGTTTTGCACCTAAGAAAAAACAAGAAAAAGGAAAACATGAACCTTGCCCTGCTGTACCTTATGGTCTATTAAGAGAGAAAGACTAATCAAATAATCACACAAACATATTTAGTTTGAAGGCAAGTTGCAGGCTGCTATGGTAGAGGATAATAAGGGGATCTGACCAAATACGGATTTCAAGGAAAGCTTCATCAAGGAAATGATATTTGAGTTGACTTTTGGAGGATGAGTAAAAATTGACTATATGGAGTAAAGAATGAAAGCATTCTAGGCAAAGAGAGCCACATATGCAAAGGTCCTGGGAGAGACTGTCTTATTTGAGACATGGAGAGAAGGCCAGTGTAGCTGTAGGGCAGACAGCTATGTATCACATAGGAGAAGGAAGGTAGACCGAGTTAGATTATTTGGGATTTTTTCGACTATGCTCAGGCTATTGGGAGTCAACTTAGTGCAGTCAAAGTGTTTTAAGTGGGAAAGTCACATGATGAAAATTTCATTTAACAAAGATTATTTTGGCTGCCATGAGAGTAATCCACATAAAAGGCAGGTCCTACTCAGAGTGTGATCTGAAGACCAACAGCATCAGCATACCCTGGAAATTACTAAGCCCTCCCCAGACCTACAAATCAAATCTGGGCCCAGCACTCTGTGCTCTCACAAGCACTCCAGGTGATTCTGATGCTCACTAAAGGTTGAGAAGCCCTGGCTTGGTTTTGGATGTACAGTGGAGACTGAAGAGTGAATGGATTTAAAACCAATTTCAGAAGTTTACTACTAGAATTGACCAGATTTGGCAATATCTTTAGTTTGGGGAATGAGAAAGAAGGAAGCGTCAAGGACTCTAAATTGTACATCTAAAGAAACCATCTAATCTGACTTTTTATACATTGTTGTATGTATAGATATATATGTTTTGAAATTAGAAAAGATGAATCGACTAGGGCGTGGATTTTGGTTTACATGTGTTCGTTGGTTTATGTACTAATCCAAGAGCACTGTTGATAAGATCTAAGAAGCATCATTATGAAAAAATGACTTCAGGTGAAAAAAGTAACTTATAACTTGGACCATCTCTACCATTGCCAGTATAAGCAAATTATCACTGGAGAGCTGATTTCCTCTATAAGGAGAGTCTTTACTTTCCCAGAATTTCTCAATTTTGAGTCCCCTAAATTACCTTTTGAAACATCATGTTCCACTATTTTTAAAAAAAAATACTTCTTCAGAAATATACTAGGACTGAAACAGTAAAAGAAACCTTGTTAATAAGACGACTAAGAAAATATACTGTTAAAAGGAAAAACATTAAACTCAGAATGTGTTTCGAGGTTTAAAAAAGTCATTGACTGCCTAAGATTTTTACATTCTGTATAGTGTCTATAAAGATTTTTTAAAAGTACCTATTCTTCTTCATACATATACGAGATAGCCAGAGTGAATATTTCTCACATTTTTAACCTTCTAGTTGCTTTGGTCTGACTCTTTATAGACTCAGACCACAATCTATCTCCATTTCACTTCTTTAGACTCCTGATTAACCTGTCTTTTGCTTTGTAATGCAGCTCAGAAAACTCTTACTTGATACCATAATTCTGAAAGCAGCTTCTGCTCATGGATTTTGAAGTTAAAGCCTTGTTAGAGATCCCTCTAGGTCACTGATGGCCAAGCCTATTTTTCTCTTCCTTTCCTTTCCTTTTTAAGACAGAGTTTCACTTTTGTTACCCAGGCTGGAGTGCAATGGCATGATCTCAGCTCACTGCAACCTCTGCATCCTGGGTTCAAGCAATCCTCCTACCTCGGCCTCCCAAGTAGCTGAGATTACAGGCATGTGCCACCATGCCCGGCTAATGTTTGTATTTTTAGTAAAGATGGGGTTTCTCCATGTTGGTCAGGCTGGTGTCAAACTCCCTCAGGTGATTGGCCTCCCAAAGTACTGGGATTACAGGCGTGAGCCACAATACCTGGACACCTATTTTTCAAGTGAAGGATAATTAAGTGTACACTAATTATCAAATTGGAAAGAAAATGACTAGTCTTTATTTAGGAAAATAGTGTTGTCTGATTGGATGATCTTTTACAAGACACCTCTATGACATAGTCTAAGCTCCTTCTCAAGAAAAACTGTCTATATGATTTTTGCACTAACAAATAGTACTTCTTAAATACTTTGGTAGTATACAGTCTTCTTAAATCTCCAAAGAATCAAGAATTAACTCCTAGTGTCCAGTAATCTTTAGGTTTCTACATCAGTATTGGCAAATTATGACCTGTATCTGGCAGGATGCTTGTTTTTGTAAATGAAGTTTTACTGGTAAACAGCCATGCTCATTTTTTAATGGATTGTCTATTCTCCAACAGCAAAGTTAAGTAGTTGAGACAAAGACCATATGAGTTATAAAGCCAAAAATATTTAGTCTCTGGCCCTCTATGGAACAAGTTTGCTGACCTTTGAAGATGAATAACCCAATCTGTTAGGTTGCACATCCAGTTAGAACCCTCACAATTCAGAAGAATTCTAAATTTTCACTTCTTGGCAGCACATCACACTGCCATGTGTGTACCTATCAATCTTTCATGTTCTTCACATGTACCCCAAAGCCTAAAATGCGATTTCAAAATATGAGATGTATTTCTGTTGTAGGGAAATGCCTATAATCATATGGGAAAATGTTTTGCATGAATTTATTTTTTCACAAAAATTTCTTAGAACGGGTGTCTGGTGAGTAATGCAAGGATAAGCTTATTGGCGCTGATACCTCACCTGAGTAGTCTGAGCACAATGATGCCTATCCAGTCACCAGTTTTGGCTTCAAGATCTGCTGAGGTGTCCCTTTAATTTTAGGAGAGAAGCAATAAGTTGAGGAAGATGTCTGTTTTGCCTCACATGTCTGCCAAGTTGTGACTCAGGGCAATCTGGCACAGTGTTCACAAGTCTTCGTTAAGAGTTTAGTTTGCACAATGGAAGAAATGTTCAGTATGTTTGTTGTCTGCATATTCTTGGAAAGTGCTAAATTGCCACCTAAAACTGTAATCATATATTTATATGCTGAAGAATTGTCATGAAATCCTTAACCATTTCTTTTTACTTCTTTTCTTATTTCCAAATTCTCATCTCAATATTTCTGCTTTCTTACATAGAATGTATTTTTCATTCTTTCACTGTATTTGTCTAACATTTTAAACACAAATTTTAATTCTGAAACTAACTTCTTAAAAAGGACTTTATCAATGTTGAATTTGTTACACATCTTAGCTTACATTATCAATAAAATAACATGCAATACATAGAAGCATAATTTTTCCTTTTTAAGATATCAAAAATAGATTGTTCACTCCTGTGATAATTATTCCTTTGGTAAATTCTTTAACATATGTTGAAATGCACTGTGTTTTGGCAGAGAGCTTGTGAAACAGAAAGTCATATGATTTGAGGTCTAGTTCTAACTCTTCCAACAATTAACATTTTTTACTTCAGTTTACTGAACCACTCTGAACTCATGATTTTTAGCTTTACAATAAACAGTTCCATCTCATCATCTCTACAGTTCTTTTTAACTCAAGCAAGCTGAAATGACTTTGTACATTTCAACTTAATATTATTTTAGATGTTCAAAGAAATACTGAATTCGTCATTTTTAAAGTGTATGTATGATATGTTTCCTTCATTTAAAAAATGAAATGTTTTATAAGTACACAAAAGAAAGATTATTGCAACAAATATCCACTTTATACCACCACCTAACTTTAAGATATATTAAAACTAAACCATATTTGTCCACGATTATTTTTGAAATAACTATTTAAAATGCATATAATACTTCAAAGCTAGCTCTTAACCCTGGCCTCCTCAAAGCATTTAACCATGAGAATTAGCCATATACCCAGTACGCAGATGTAGTATAAACAGGTGAAAAATTATACCTGAGAATATTCAGCAAGTAAATGGCAAAGTAAATGACTGTTATTTCCAGTCTTATAAGATGAGTCCAGTGACTTGACCACATGCAACACCATTCAAATCCTGTATGTTCCTGTTACATCTTGACTCTTCTTTTCTAAAGATACAATTTTGTATTTAGTGGTTTTTTTTTGGAAAAAACATAAATTGGTTCTAATTATCTTAAGCAAAAATAATAATTTACTGAGGATTGGAGTCAAGATGGCCGAATAGACACAACTCCGGTGCACAATACCCAGTGAGAGAGATGCAGAAATCCAGAGATCTCCTAGCTCCAACTGAGGTACCAGGTGGATTTCAATGGGTCTGGTCTGACAGTGAGCAAAACCAAGGCAGGGCAGACCAAGGCGGGGAGGAGTGCTGCTTTACCCAGAAAGTACATCTGACCAGTGAGTCACAGGATCCCCGTCTGGTATTCCGGTCCAGATATAGTGCTTCCCCCAAAGCCTCAGCAATACACAGAACAGGGGATCTTTCCCAGTCAAGTGCCAGGAATTAAAAGTGCAGAGTTGAATAATAATCCAGGACAGTGTCCCGAATTGGTGCACAGATCTAAGGAAATGCATAAGCCTATAAGCCAGCCAGGAGAGCCTGCTGATGAGCTATCGCCCCCTTTCCCTACCTGGAGAAAGAGGGAGCTGAAGGTGGGAGGGCAGATGGAGCAGCTTGGAGGGTCCCTCCCCCATGACCAGAGAGAGGGAGCTGAAAACTGGGAGACAGGGTGTGCAGCTGGATGGGTCCCTACCCTCCCCCACAAACCCCAGAGGGCTGAAGCACTAATTCTAGGGGGTTGTGCAGCCAGTGCCACATTCTGAGCTGAACCTTGAATCATCCAGCCCTATGGAGGAAGGAAATAGTGCACCATTAAAGGGGTGGGACTAGGTCTCAGGTTTTAACAAAAAACACAGGAAGCCTACTTAGCAAAGGGATGCTGCTCTTGACCACCCAGCAGCACCTCCAGGTCAATGGAAGAGGTGGGCTGAATCTCTCAGTATAAACAAAAAAGACACAGGAAGCTTACCGAGCAACCTGAAGGAGTCCATAGAAACCA